TTGAATGATTTATTTTAATATTTAAATTACTAATTATTTCTTTAAATAATTTTGCCCAAAATGGTCAAAAACAGTTTTTTGGAATGATTTAATAATATTTTTATTATAAATTATTAAATATTTATTCTATATAGTATTATGAATAGTTTTTGAAATGAATTATTATTATATCATAATAGAATCACATTAATATATTTTTGTTTGTTTTTATAAACCATGTTATATTATTAATAGCTATTGTTTAAATTATACAAACTAAATTATTAAAATATTAAATCATGATAGTTTATCAATGATTTAATTTATATAACACATAACGAACACTTCATTTTGTAATTCTTTGGCTTCGTGTTAAGTTAGTGCCTTAGCGACTGCAAGGTTTACTGATAAGAGTTTGCACATATTAAGTTATCAAATTTTTATTTTTTTTCGAGACATTTTTGATTATTTAATAGTATTTTTATTAACTACAATAGTTATTTGTTTTTTGATTATCAACAATTGGTCTAAAAACCCAAAATATAGCGTGATATATTTGATAATAAAAACACTTAAAATCTATATTAATACACAAGATACTCTTATAATAAATAATCTTTTATTTTTATAATAATGTTATTTCAAAGACTTGCCCAAGCGCTCTTCAGTTGTGTTTGCATTGACTCTTTGTGCATTGAATTACGTATTAAGTATCAATTAAGTCATTTTTTCGACACTTAACTAGAATTTTTTAATAAAATGCACTTTTGGGCAAGTCTTTATTACGGCGGAAAAAACCGATGTTTTACCATTTTATATAAAGTTTTGCTTAAAATTGGACATTATTTGCGTTTTGCCGAGTTGAAATATAAAAAATTCAACAACATTTCTTAAAACCGATGTTGACCTTTTTATTACCAAACTCAAATCAATCAACACTAAATTCTGAACAAAAATAATAAAATGCCATTAAAAAACACAAAAAAGAATTGAGTTTTTTCACGGCATACAAATAGTATTTTACTAACTTAACATGAAAAAACACGATTTTTATTGTTTTATTAACCACCAAGATTTGGTTGCCTCCATTTCGGATAACCCACTCTATTTTCCCCGTCTTTTTATTTTTCCCATGAACGGCACCAAAAACCGATGTTTGACCAAGTTCTTTATAAACAACCATTAAACTTTGACTATAAATGATATTTGCCACAAAAAGTTGAGGTTTTGTTCAAAAAATTTAAAAAACAGGGAAAAAACAAATGGACACATGAAACGGAATATTACCGATGTTCGATGTTTCTAATTAAAAAATCGTTTTATTTTGTTTTTTTCTCCAGTTTTTTGATTTTGCTTCGATTTTTGAAAAAAGTTTCAAAAAATTAATTGATTATAAAAAGGAGCTCTGTATTTCATTTGTTTGACAGGGACTCAAAAAAGGGCTGGGAATGGATGCACTCAACTTTGTGTGGTGTAGCTTTTGAAAGAACGTTTTTCAAGTTTGGCCGTGGATCGCATTTCTGATCAAATGAGGAATCGATCAAGAGGGGGTGTGAAATAAAGGTGCAGTCGGTCTTTGATCGAAGAAATGAAAAGTTGTTACATTGAAAAAGTGTGAATATTGATACGTTTATAAAGTTGTTTGATATGTAATTGATTAGATAGTGGAGTTTGTGTTTTATGAACGATAAATAGCATGTAAAAAAATTAAAAGTTAAAGTTAAGGGGTGTGAAAAAAGGTACACTGACGTGGTTTTGATTAAAAGTTTTTGTATTTATGCTAAAAAGGAAAAATAATATTGAAAACATTAATCAACTTTTAAAAACTTTTTATTGTTTTTTAGCCAATTTTTATATTTTTCTTGCTTCAAAGAACAGTTTAGAAGTCGTTATTTTATGCTTCCCTTTTGTCTTTCGGCAAATTCAACCTTATCTTTACAAGAAAAAATAATGTATAATCTCAAAAATGATTTTTGGCATTTCGAAAAAAGAAATTAAGTTATGTTAACCTTGTTTTTTTGAATCAAATTGAGGAAAAATGGAAAAATAAACTATACAACTAACTATAAAAGTGTTATTAAATTACTATTATTTTGGCAACATCGCTTTTTTCCAACATCGGTTTTTTTCTGCCCCTTTATATAATCAATTAATAATATTTTATATAGTATTCAAGAAAAATAAAAGTTTGATTATTAATTCAATTGTTTTACACATAATATAAAAGTATAATAATTAATTTAACATTATATAAAGAAATTATTTTTATTACACAATGATTTCGAAAAAACAATATTGTGTAATTCTTAAAAATAATTTAAACCAAAATATATCTTAATAAAAACAAGTGATGACAAAACTTGGTAGTTATCACATTGTGAACGTCTCAAAGTACTTCAAGACAATTGAAGATTTTATCAATTTGACTTTTGTTTGCAAAAAGTATAGTTCATGTACGGAGAAATTTGATTTCAACCCAATTCCATTGACCAACAAAACATTTAAATATTTTCCCAAAATGAAAATCCTTCATTTATGGAAAAAAGAAGATGAGAATTTTGGTAATGGATTTATCATAAAAGAAAAAGATGTTAACTATGAAGACATTAACAAAGGAAGAGAGATTATTTTGAAAAAAGATTTTGATGGAATTGTTGTGTGGTTTGAAGTCATTTATGCAACTTATGAAAAAAACAAAAATCCAAATATCAAATTGAAAAACGTCATATATACCAAAAATGATAGAATTAAATTTGGCAATGAAATACCAAAGGGTGTTACAAAACTTGATGAAGGGTGTTTCCGTGATTGTAAAGAACTGCATAACGTTGAAATTCCATTTGGTGTAAGTGCCATTTATCCTGGATGTTTTTATGATTGCAATTTTATTGATAAAGTAACAATACCCCCAAGTGTTAGATATATAAATTCTTATTCGTTTTTTCGGATGTCACAATTTAGGAAGTGTTGTTATACCAGAAAGAGTCTCATATCTTAGTGCATATTGTTTCGGTGGATGCAACTGTTTAAGTAATGTTGTTATCTCATCGAATGTCACATCAATTGATAGTTTCTGTTTTTTCAAATGCGCGAATTTATGTTATCTCACCATACCATCAATTGTCCAAGTTATCAGTGAACAGTGTTTTGATAAATGTATCAAATTGAGAAATGTTACTCTACCGTCTAAACTTGTATCAATTGAAAAGAAAAGGTTTTACAAGTGCAGCTCGATAGAATCTTTAAACATCCCATTGGGTGTTACTGAATTGGGTCAATATTGTTTTTATAAATGTAAAGGTTTAAGAAGTGTGACAATACCATCGAGTCTTACAATTATTAATAATTTTTTTACATATTGTTTAAAATTGCATGATATTATTATTCCATCAAGTGTCGTATCATTAGGTTATCATTGTTTTCGTGAGTGTAACATTGAAAGTGTGGTAATTCCTTCAAGTGTTACTGAAATTCTAAGTGGGTGTTTTTTAAATGCACCAATCTAAAAAGTGTGGTAATACCATATGGTGTGACTAAAATTGGTGATCTATGTTTCTATCAATGTAGCAGTCTGAGCAGTGTTATGATACCATTAATGTCATATCATTGGGTGAATCTTGTTTTGAATGTTGTGGTAATTTAAGTGAAATCGATATACCGTCGAGTGTAAAATCAATTGGTGATGGTTGTTTTGATTCACACACTTTAGTAAACAAAAAATGACCCGATTTATTTGAGTCTTTTCACACTTGGTTTTATTACAAAACAGTTAAAAAATATAATATTTTTATTTAATCAAAAACAATAATAACTATTTTATTGTGTTTTCACTTGATAATTATTTTAATAAAATTTTATCATATTTCAATTAAAAAAAGTAAATCAAAAAAAATAAATTTGAAATTAATTAATTAAACAAATTATTATTTTTGAGTTTAATGTTATTTGAGTGTTAAAAAAATAGACTCAAATAAAAATTCAATTATTCATCAAGCCATTAACCAAGGTGACAACTTCGCCAATTTCAATTCTCTCAGTTGGAATTGTACACCAACATTTTTGAATCACATCAAACTGTTCGTTGGACATTGAATTCGTTTTTTCAAGTCGTTTTCCATTTGTCACAAACTCTGCAATTTTCCATGGAAACTTGAACTGCTTTTCCGAATAAGCATTGCACCACCCAAAGCACTCGTACATTGTTATAGCAAACGAGTATATATCTGCCGGTTTTTTGTAGTGGTTCTTTTTTAATATTTCAGGTGCCATGTAACTTGGTGTTCCAATACCTTTTGTGAATGTCATGTTTGTTGTCAGCATGTTGAAATTTCTGGATGATCCAAAATCAGTCAGCTTTGCATTGACACGTTCGTTATAATCCAATAAAAATACGAGAATGTTGTCTGGTTTGATGTCTCTGTGTAAAATGCTATTCTCGTGGAGATATTGAATTCCTCTTGCTCCATCTAAAATAATTTTAACACGCATTTTTGTTTCAACTTCAGTTGACTTTTTTTGTTTCAAAACATCATTCAAAGACCCAAATTGAGCATATTCGGTGACCATACACACCTTGTTTGGTATAAACACGGCACCATAGAAGTGGACAATAAACTCACTCCGGAATTTGTCCAACATGTTCACTTCCTTCTCAAATTCTTGAAGTGACTTCTTTTCATCAGTAATTTCATTTGTTAATGTGTTTGGTGATGCAATTTGTTTCATCTTTTTTATTGCTACAAAATTACCTCTGTAATTTCCCATATACACAATGCCAAATGATCCTTCGCCAAGTTTTGTGATCACATCAAGTTCTTTATAATTGAGTTTGGTCGTCTGTTGTGTAGTTGTGTCAATTCCTATTTTGGCGTTTACGACATTTCCTGTTGTTATATCAAGTGAAGTGATCATCACACTTTCTTCGATTTTACACGTACAAAGGGGTTGTATAAATATCTCAAATTCACAAGCTTCGCCTCTTTTCAGTGTAACAATGGAAGGCAATGTGCGAATTTGGTAAGAATCACACCCTTCAATCACACTAAACTGGACTTTCATATTATGTTTTGAAGTGTTTCCAAGGCAGATCAAATCTCTTGTCTCTTTATCAACAGGAATAAATTCGTCGGTATCCAAGTCAAACTTCAATTTGGATTTATTAACTACTATATTGTCCACTAATGTAAACATCTTGATGTTCGAGCGACTCATTTTATATGTGCACACTTTGAGCTCTTCTTTCTTCTGATTCCGAGCTTGAATATTACAATAAGAGTAATCACTTTCAATAAAACTATTATTATCAACACTAGTATAATTGACATTGAAATACCAATTGCCGCTCCCAAGTTTACTGTTTGAATGCAACTGTCACCACTTTCAGATGGTTTGTTATACCCCTTGCATTTTACACATTTGGAATCCGTAGCTTCGATACAATTTGGTATTTCAGAGTAATATACACATTTAGAATCATATAAAACGTAATCTTTTGATACACAATTTGTACACGCACCTTGTAAAGTACACAAAGTGCACGTTTCATCACATTTTGTACAACGCGAATGTGATAAGTAATATCCATCGGCACAGACTTCACACCCATAATACCCAACTTTCAAACAGTTTGTATTTGTTGTGTTAAGTTGACACAAGCGACTCTCAGACTCGATGATGAAATAGCCATCTGCACACACAGAACACGAAGTATTGCTAATACACAAACTACATGAAACGTCACAAACTATACAGTCTTTGAGCACTTTAAAATATCCATCTCTACAGATAGCACATCCACCACCTGTTGGAAGCGCGACACTGCATCTTGCACTCAAATCACCAAGGGTCTGACATTTATTTGTTGAGTCGAGATAATACCCACTTTGACATGAAGTACAATATGTCTGTGAGTAACACGAACTGCAATCATAGGTGCATTTCACACACTCATTATTTTCATCGTAATATCCATCATTACACCGTTGACATCCTTTGTTGTCTCTTATTTGACATTTGGACTCAGTAACTCCTTTCAAAAATGCTAAATATTTAATATGTGAATTGGATATAACAGAGACAGGAAGTTCGGGTTCCGTTTCTGGTGGAACAACAGGAACTTCATCTTCAAATGATTCTTTACACACACCACCTTTCAATTTGAACAAATCGTTGCATTCTACACATTTACTAGTTGAAAAAGCAAGTCGTTTACAATTTGGATATACCGTTGAGGGTATTGGAAGACAGAAATCGAATTTGCCTTCAACGTTCAAAGTGTCAACTTGATAGAACCCATTTGAACACATCACACAGCCAGACACACTCGACTTGTCACAGTTTTGTTCATTTTGGAAAACGCATTGATTCTCTTTGACCATCAAATAGTCGTTGGAACATCGCTTGCACTTGTTTCCTTCGCAAAATTGGCAGTTTGGTGTTTGGCAGGCTGTGCATATTCCATTGATGATTTGTGATGACACCAACTTGCATTGAGAGCAGTAATCATGTGTATATTGCAAACACATCTCATCTGTTATACATTGCTCTGTACCAACATCTTTGTTGTTTTGTGTGCATTTCAATGTGTAGATTTTATTTCCATTATTAATACAAAATGAAACAAAATTTGGACACACTTCGCATACATTGTTATTACTAAGATATTGGCCATCCAAACAACTGTACTGAACGCCATTTTTATACAATTCATTTGATTCTATTTTGTTACATGTGTTTTGTGATAAAGTATAATTGTCTGTGCACATTAAACATGTTGAAGTTGATGCTATTGTTTTCTGATATTTGCAATTTGAAGCAATTGAAGCACAATCGGAATTGATCGAAATTTGGTCTGAACAATCACACGACGCCGGTGACAGACTCGATGGGCTGTTGCAGTTTTGAGCATTTTTACACATCCCATTTGACACAAAATGATCATCAGTGCAATGAACACATTTGGTGCTTTCAATTTGAACAGCACAAGTTGTGTTTTTATTTACACAACGATTTGTTGTTCTGTCATAATATGACGTTGAATCACATTGGTCACAACTTTTACCATTTGAACTTAAAGTGTATGGGGGATAACACTCGTTACACCTTGCATTGCCGACTGACGCCGTTCCACAGTTTTTACAATTCAAAATAGCATTGTAACACTTGTTGCATGTAGTCTCCGTCTTTTTGTAAGTTCCAGCTTCACATGATAGACATTTTTGATTTAAGAGGTAATACGGGTCTTTGCAACTGAAACAACTCTTTTCCGTATTATTACAACTGTTGCAATTGTTGTCTATAGTCGAACACGCAACACACTTTCCATTTGAGTCGGGGTAATACCCATTTAAACACTTCACACACTTTCTTGAATAATCATAAACACAAGTTACACAATGACTGTCAAATGTAGCACATGGCACACAACTTCTTCCTTTTGGTTCATTGAAAACGTAATTATATAAACACGTGTTACAAATACCACTTGATGTGTTACAATCGCCATTACATGTTGAGTCACAGTCTTGGCACACTTTATTTGAATCATTTGGGTATTTCCCTGGTTTGCAAACAGCACACTCTCTTTTATCAGAAACACAAGTCACACAATTAAAGTCGAATGTTTGGCAACTTTCACACTTAAATGGATCTGATGTTGTTGGAACATACGATTCGTTACACCCAGTACAATGTCCATTTGTCGTGTCACACTTTCCTCCACATGTTACATCACAATATTTACATCTGAAATCGCCAGCGGTTTGTGGATAACTACCAGCAACACAATTTACACACTTTCTAGCAAACGATGGTGAACACGTCACACACCTTAAATCAAAAGCAGCGCAATCAACGCAAACATTTGAAATTGGACTTGTGATGACTTTATTTTCAGTGCATTTGTCACAGTTTCCATTTGACGTGTTACACGTGTTTGGTGCACACGATGCTTCACATGGTATGCATTTACCCTCTGCATTTGGATAATACCCCGTGTTGCATGTGGTACACTTTCTTTCATAATTGGAGTTGCATGTGACACAGTTGCTATCAAAATTAGAGCATTTTTGGCACTGCAAATTGTTTGTTTGATACAAAACATAGTTGCTTTGGCACCCTGTGCAATGACCGTATGTTGGATCACACTTCTCTCCACACGTCGAGTCGCACAAACCACATTTCATTTCTCCGCTTGTCAACACGGGATAATACGTGTCGTTGCATTGAATGCAATTTCGTGTTTGGTTTTGAGCACAGAATTTACAATTAGAATCAAACTTATTACAGCTTTCACAACCACCTGATGTTAAACTTGTTACATAATTGGGCATACAATTGGTGCAGGCTCCTGTTTGTCCATTACATTGATCACATTCACTACTACATGGTACACACTTTTTGCTTGTACTATCAACATATTGTTTGTTTGTACACGTGTTGCAACCTCTATTGAAAGAAGAGTCGCAAATATAGCAATTTGAATCAAATGCAGTACAGGAAACACAAATGCTTCTGTTTGTATCACCAAAGACCATGTTGTTCTGACATCCAGTGCAAAATCCAGTAGAGCTGTCACACTGATTGTTGCACGTGTCGTCACACTTCTTACACTTGTTTTCAAACACAAAATAACCAGAAACACATGTCACACATTTTCTTGTAAAGTCTGGCGAACAAGTTTGACAATTTGGATCAAAAGACACACAACTCTCACATTGTAAACTGTTTGTGGCAGACAACATGTAATTGGTAACACACCCAGTGCAATGACCATTTTTACCATCGCACTGATTTCCACAGGTTGAATCACAATTGGCGCAATTAACACCATCTTTGGGGTATTTACCGCCTCGACACGTCAAACACTTTCTCGAGAAATCTGACGCACACTCATCACAATATTGATCAAAAACACTGCAAATATCACATTTTTGTGATAATGGCGATGTGACAACGTGATTTGTTGAACATGTGGTACAAGTCCCATACATTGGATCACAGTTGTTGTTGCAAGTAGCATCACAACTCACACAAACCCCATCAACAGAAGGCTTGAAATGGTCATTGCACTCATTGCAGTATCGCCCAAACAATGTTGCGCACTTCTTGCAATTCTTATCAAAATCTGCACATGGAACACACGCCGTGTTATTGACAGTTGAAGGCACAAAATTTGTTTGACACGCCGAACATTTTCCTGTTGCGGAACTACAAGTGGTGCACCCGTAGTCACATGGTACACAGAGCCCTTGTTTTGGGTAATAATTACTCTCACAAATGGTACAGCTTCGTTGTTTGTCTGACGAACACACATTGCAATTCACGTCAAATGTTTTACAGGGAACACACACTTTCGATTTCGGATTCTCAAAAACATAATTTAAAACGCAACTTGTGCATAATCCTGATGATTGATCACAGCTGTTATTACACGTCCAACTGCAGTTTTTACACATTCCGGTTGTCTCATCCGGATATTTAGTCGTTTTACATGTTAAACACTGTCGTTTTGTTACAATACAAGTGCTGCAATTTTCATCAAAAGTTGAGCACAGCTCGCATTTGGAAGGATCGAGTAAGGTTGGAACATAATTTGATGCACAACCAGTGCAAACTCCAGTCACACCACTACAACTCCCTCCACACGACGAATCACACACAACACATTTACCATTGACTGGATAATAATTGGTGTTGCACTCAATACATTTTCTTGTGAAATCAGTTGCACACGTTTTGCATTTTGAATCAAAATCTGAACATTTTTGGCACATTTTAGAAGTTGGAGATGTCACAACGTAGTTTTGAACACATTTTGAACATAACCCGTTGTTTGTATTACACGTGTTTATTTGACAAGTTGCATCACATGAAATACACTGTCCTGTTGTACCTGGATAATACCCCGCTTTACATGTCACGCAACTTCTGTTTCCACCATTTTGACACGTTTCACATTTGTTATCAAACGTTTTACAAAACACACACACTTTTGATGGGGGGTCTTCAAACACATTATCTGATGCACACAATGTGCAAATACCAGTTGCTGAATCACATGTTGTGCAATTTGTCCCACATGAAACACACTTTCCACTGTCGTTTGGATAAAACCCTGTTATGCAAATTAAACATCTGCGACTGAAAATACTTGCACATATAGCACAATTTGAATCAAACTCACTGCATTTTTGGCACACTCTCGAAGTTGGACTGGCAAAAACATAATTTGATCCACACGAAGTACAATACCCTGTATTCCAATCACATTTGTAATCACAAGACGCATCACATTTTGAACACTTTTTGTTATCAGAAATATAAAACGTGCTTTTACAAAAATTGCAACTTCGTGTTCCATCAGTTGCACAAGTCTGACAGTTGGTATCAAAAGAAGAACACAACTCACACGTTAGAGATGGTTGATTGAGTTGTGGGACATATCCACTCACACACGTTGTGCAATATCCAGTTGATGAATTACATCCTATAGCACAACTTGAGTGACACTTCTGGCATGTATATGGCGATACCTGAAGTGGATAAAATCCCGTTGAACATGTTTGGCATTGTCTGAGCGTTTGTGAACACAAAACACAATTGGAAAAAGCAGTTGAGCAACTGTCACAAGTTTGGTTGTCTGATGCAGGTTTTGTAAATCCACTTGCACACATAGAACATATCCCATTTGTTTGAGAACACACACTACACGATTGATCACAATTAATACATTGTTTGTTATTATTCGGGTACATTCCAGAAACACATTGAAAACACTGCCTGTTCGGTTCAAGGCAAGTTTCACAATTACTGTCATAATTATTGCACAATTCACACTTTGTGCTTGATGTGGGTTTCAAAACATATCCAGAAGCACACGTGGTGCATATCCCCGTTCCCCAATTGCAATTGCCACACGTTGAATCACATAATGTGCAAACTTTATTAACATTGTTGTAGTAATGATCAAAACATTCATTACAATTTGTTTTGCCACTTTGTCCACTAACAGCGTTACAATATTTGCATCCAGCACCACACGATATACATTCATTATTAACCAAATAATAACCACCAACACAACTTGAACATTTTAAATTCCCATTATAATCTTGGTTACAATAGGCACAATTAGAAGGACACTTCTTGCATATTTGATAACTTCCTTCCATTTTGAGATAATACCCATTGCTACATGCATTACACCATTTCAATGAATTTTGTTTACAACTTGTGCACCCCTCCATATATCCACATGGAACACAATTATAATAATATGGAAAATATCCCGAGTTACATTGATTGCACCAATATTGGTTTGAATGATAAGTCGCACAATTTGTTGCTTTTGGATAACACTTTCCATCATAAAGTAAATAATTTTGATTACATGAAGTACAATAATTTGTGTTACTATAAGTTTGACAATTTGTTGAAACACATATACCAGTTTTGCTCCACGATAAAAGTCCACTATCTCCACAAACTGGTAGACAGTTAGTGTTATTTTGAAGAAAACATTTTACAACAGAACCACCACTAGAAATTGCAACTTGATAACCATCTTCACATTGATAACAATCGTTTCCGTTGTAACTAACACACTCCAAACAATTTGGTTGTAATGTTGAGCCACATGTGATATCCTTTTTGATGTAACTTGTTTTGAACGAATTATATTGTGTCACCCAATTTGAATTGATTTCAAAAGTCGAATTGTTCACATCATCGAAAACCTGTTTTGTGTTTAGAAATAAGATTTTGGTGTTGTTAAGGAAAAAAATAAGTACATTAATACTTTCATCATATTCAATTTGCATTTCTTTTAGTTTTAAACACTTAATTTGGACTACATTCATTTGTAAATCATTTAATAACACAACACTGTTTTTATCAACAACTTTGTTATTGTTATTGTTATTGTAAGCATCACAACCACATTGAATATTATTTCCAACTAAACACCAACGAGACGTTGCAAATGTAAGTATTAACAACAGTATCAATATGAGCATATTGACTGGTTGTCTTATTTGAGTTTAAAAAAATAAAAAATAAAAAAACAAATGTATTTAACTATTTTTTGAAAAATAATAATAGGAAGTTTCACTGTTTTTTTAGTTATTTCAACAAAAACATTGATAATTTATTAGTACTTTTTATAAATAAAATAACAAAAATATAAAACAAAGAAAAAGTAATAAATAGCATAAACATTTTAACCAAAAATGTAACAATGTAGCAAATGTTTTTTGATTATTATAGTATCATCAATTATTTTCAAATTATCAATTTAAATGAATAGATACGCATTTGAATTATAATTGTGTTTATATTTATTAATTAATTTAATATAGTAATATATAAAAAGTGGAATTTTTTTCGAAATATAAAAATAATAACAAAAACATTTTACATTGAAAAAAAATAACAATGGAATACAAATTAAGATGTTTAATTGTTATCATTTCCAATTGGACTATTTAGAAACAGAGAAATTGTAATTAATGTTTTCAATAACATTTAAATTATTATTTGCATCACAAACAATTGAAAACAGTTTAATAGTCAAACTATTTATCATCGTTTTCAATAAAGTAGACAACAAACATTTCTTAGCCAAATTCTTATTTTTTTTTAATTTTTTAGATCAATTTGAGTTGAAGCTCTTATATTAAAAATGACTATTACATAACTTATTATCAATTACAACACAGAATCATATTGTATTTGAGCAAACAAATATTTATATTAAAAAAATGATAATATAAATTAATATAGTCTGTAATTATTTGGTATAGTTATAACATAATAATCGATTTGTAAAAAAAATAATAAGACAATCCCACTGTAATTGATGGTACTAAATCTGCTTGATGTTATTTATTTATTTGTATAGTCATGGTAAAAAAGGTTGTTGAGTAAAAATGGTTGTTGATTTAATAAAAGTTCGGTTTATTTTTGTATTTCAAGAAAAGGTACAAATTTCTTCGCATCATTGAAATAATATTGAAAATGTGTTTTTGAGCAAATAAAACTATTTATAACAAAGGAGTGTATTTTTAAAACGAATTGTTTTCTTCTCAATCTCAACATTTTTGTGTGTTGATTTTATAAAATGTATAACATTTTCAATTTTGAATCGAAAAATGTTTTTTTGTAATTCAAAAAACAAGTATAGTTCAATATAGTTAATATAGTTTCCGAAAAAATGAAAGTGCTTTTTTTCACCATGTTCGAAAAATAGAACACAAACAAGGATAATCATAAAAACGATAGTTGACAGTATGACAATTAGTTGTCAATTTTATAACATTAAGAGCTGTTTATTGAACATTATAGATATTACATTATACATAATCATTGTTGTTTATCAAAAAAAGAAAATGAAAGTGCTTTTTTTCACCCCCTTTCATTTTTTGAGTAAAATAAGAAATGAAATTGAAAAATTATATTTTTGTTAAATTTGAGTACTCCTCTTTATTACAAACAACATTTGTATTGAAGCAAACTATACACAATCATGAGTATCAAAGTTGTGGTCACACAATCGTTTTTTTAATTTATTTTCTTGATAACATGAAAAATAAAAACAAAGAGTCGATTGTTACATAAAGAAACGGGAAATCACCCAAATTTCATAAAAATATATTGCGATTAGATGTCAAATTATTGGGGAATAATAAAGACAATTTTTCGAAACACTTCAAATTATAATTATTAATAAAATTAACCATTAATTATAATAAAATTAACAAATACAGCTGGTTTCAGAACTCAATAATCATGTCCAAACCACAGCGAAAACCCGCTTCAAAAAAATTGGATTTGAGAGTGTTGCGCAACAGTACAAAATCGGGTCGTGGCTGTGATTTTTTGGATTTCTGTGAAACCCATGCAACAGAAATCATGGAATGTCTAACACTCCAACAACAAATGTAATTGTTGAGAAGTGAAAAATGGCTTGAAAAGGTTTCAATTGAAACGAAAGCCAAAGTGTTGGGTGTCTCACCCTCGACGGCCCGCCTCAACAACTTGTATGACGATGTCGAAGGGAAGTCTGGAAGAAAACGAGAAATTAATCAATCGAGAATGCCGTTGTTGTTGGAAACAATTTGAGAAAGACAAAACACCACCAAACCAATCACCATTAAAGAGATGGTAAATGTTGTAGAAGGAGTTGTTGGGAAGAAAGTATCAAAAAGAACCATCGCAAACAGTTTGAGGAGGGAGGGTTTAATTAAGAAGATTGCAAAACCAATGGATAATGAGAGAGCTGAGCTGAGTAAAGATGAGTTAAGAAGTTATGAAACTAGAGCTGTTGATTTGTTGAACAATGACAAACAATATGCCGGCGAAAGAGTTGTCCACTTGAATGGAGTTAAACCCTCCCTCCTTATCAACATGGACGAAAGTGATTATTGTCCATTTGTGGACTCAAAAAGGAGCAACTTTTATGTTGACGACAACTATGACTACACCAACTCTTACTCTGTTGATCGCTCTCAAAAACGCATAACACTGATTGCAGGAATATTTACCAACAACACCACACTGAAACCAATGATCATACTATCAAACTTGACAATGAAAAATGAAATCAACAGATACACTGACAGAGATGAAATTGCATATCAACGCAAATCTTTCATTACGGAAGACATATACATGTTGTGACTTGAAAGATGTCTTAAACCAGAACTGGAATTAAGAAGAAAAAATTGCCCACAAGAATGGGCGGTTTTAATACAAGACAACTGTGTTGGCCACATTAAAGATGGTGCTAGAAAGTGGCTGTTCGAAAATAAAGTGGCTTTATTATTATTGTGCCCACACAGCAGCCACTTGTCTCAACCACTGGACGTCGTGATATTTGGCGTTCAAAAGGGTTGTTTTTTATGAAAGAACTCAATGAAATGATCTCAAAATTCAAAGCTGGTGTAAGTCTTGTTACTATTGTTACATTTCTTTTAGTTATTGACTGATAGAGAGCAATGGGTTCTTCGGTAGTTTCTCGGCTTGTTGGTATAAAGTACCCCGTTGGTGTTATGTCTCAAAAGGATGATGTTGAAGATGAAGTCAAGAAGGCTACAAAAAGAAGAAAATGGAAATTTTAGAACTCAAGGATCAAGATGGTGCAATAGATGGTGCTAAGTTGGAAGAGTTGTCTGTTTGTATGGTCACAAAAAGAGTCGTTGAAATCATCCAATCGTTCAAAATTGCCTGCGTAAACAACAACACCTCAGCCTTTCACATATGTAGTTACGTAAAAAAGCCAATTGGAAAAGAAAAGGAGGGTATGATGTCAGAATTTTCTACTGTAGGGAGTATGCCTTCAGAATACGAGAGTTTTTGGGCGAACAGGTTTGCGTAGTTCCTGTTGCCTTTCCTGGAAGAAGAAGCAACTTAAACATTGATAAAAACGAAGGCACTTCAAAATGATTGAAAATTCATGTTATGTATGATTTATTTTTTGAATATTTCCTGATAATTTCAATTTAAGTTGGGCTGATCTGTAAGATTAATTAAAGTACACAAGTTCAAAAAGAATTCAAAATGAAATTTATTTTTATTCTTCAATCATTGATTATAATATTTAAGTTTAAAATAATAAAAATATGGTTTTAAAAACGTCTTTTTGATACAATTGCCAAATTATGACATCTTGTAAACTTTAAGTTTTTTACAGATCAACTCTGATTTTTACACATTTAACACATCAATGGAACTGATATTTCTATTATTTACTCGCGTTTAAGTAACAACTGTATTTTCCTCAATTATTCTTACATCGACAATCTTTTTTCACGACTGCTTATTATTGTTTGTTTGTTTTTCTTTATTCAATGTGTTTATCTATAGCTTTATTTGCTTTAGTTGAACCAATACTGGTTGTCAAAAAGGTAGAATTGTGGAGTTTGTTTACGTTTTGTTAATACAGAAGGTGTTGACCGTATAGGTTTAGCGTTTCTTTTGATGATTGGCTTTTTACTTGTTTAAAGCATAAAATACTCTTGCCATTGACTAGAGCATTCATCTAATTGAAACTTTTATCATTTTTTTGTTATTGTTTTTTGTTGTTATTTATAAATGAGAAGAAATCTTCTTTCACTTCATTTTCTATTTATTTTTTCGTTTTGATTTGAATAATATGTTCTTTTTCGTTCTGTTTGAAGGGAAAACAACTTCAATTAAAGGAACACCATAAGTGTAACTTTTATTGAAATGTAAAAATAAACCGAACCTTTATTCAATCAACAACCATTTTTACTCAACAACCTTTTTTACCATGACTATAATTGATATTTACAACATTGATGTAAAATGAAACGCTGTGTAAAGAAATCTGCATAAAATAATCTGTGTAATATATTTAAAAAATACATTTAATTGTTGAATGTTTATTACACCCTTTGTCGATTATTCGATAAATTATATTACATATTTGAAATTTGTCATCGCCGTAACATATTCTTGGACTTTGATAATAAGGAAATGTGGTGAGATTGTGTTTAATTTTATCAATAAATTGGTTAATTTTAGTTGTGTTGTGTTCTCCATTATTTCCACTTTCTTCAGAATGTGTTGTGTTTGCTATTGGGTTAACAACGTTAGCTCGCCTCGCGCTTAAATTTCGTTCCCAACATTTCGAGGCAAGTGAAGTCAAATATGATATTGTTATTTTTAAAAGTGTTTCTCAATGTTTTGTACTGGTATTTTTATTAAAGATGTTACAACTTGCTGTCATTTTGGATGCGTAACCGTTTTTCCAATGAACTTAACTGTTTTTACCTGCAAGTATTAAGCTGTCGCCAAGCATTACTTGCACGTTATTTTGTCATCTTGATTAAACAAGAAATCAAAGTACTGTTGATGAAAGAACTTTTTATATTCGCTTCGATAGTTGTTGTATCCAAAAATAATAATGAGATTTTTTGAATGAAACCATAAAGTCCTGGTAAATAATAATTGAAATTTATGTGCTGATGATGCTCTTGTTATCATAATAAAATAACACAGTCGTTGGCAATGTTGTTTTTGGAATTTATAAAAACGCTATTTTGGATGCTCCAATGTTTTAGACACATTAAAGTAATTAGATAGTTACAGTGTTTCCAAAATTATTACTTCTTGCATTGAAAATGTTTATGTTTTGAATTTGTGGTCTGCATTTTTACATATAATGATAAATGCTATAGTCATTTTAATTGCATTTTTTTGATATATATTGACAAATAAAACTTTAAACATTTCATTGTTTACGACATTAATATGTTAAAGACATTTATTTGTGTTGTATTAAAAACTTAACAGTTGAATAATAAGTTTAACTTTTTACAACTAATCGGCTCTTTTATTTTTTTTAATTGAATTGAAATACTATAAAAGTGTATTAAAATCTGACTTAAATTTCAAAATAACATAACATAGTTATTATATCTGTTTATTATTTTATTAAATATTTATCATCATATCATTAATTTAAACAATAAAACTTGTTGCCTGAAGAAAATGGTATAAAATTTAGCCAACGTATGAAATTCAATGTAAAAAAAATAAAATGCAAGTATTTTTTTCTTTATTTTTGAAAACAATAATTTAACATTTTTGTGGCTGTCTTTTATTTATTTGTAAATCTGGTTGGTTACAAAGACAGGCGACACAACTTCTCGAATATGAGATCAATTATGTATTAGGATCTTGGTAATAAGTTGCCAAAATCAAGCTATATTATTTTTTATGTAAATTTACAAACATATCTTGAAAAAAAAACAGAACTAAAGAGTACAAGACATGACCAAATTTTTAATTTAACAATTCGAGGACTGAAAAATTTTTATTTTTTTATTTTTTTTCAGAAAAAAATTTCAAAAAATAATTTCACTTTTCCAAAAAAATGAAAATAATGGCGACTTTTCATGAACAATTTAGAATGATTTTTGACTTATTTGATAAAACAGTTCAACTTAAATTCAAACTTTTGAATTATTTATAAAACATTTCATCATTCATAAACTCAAATTAATTGGTTTTTGTTAAAGATTCGTCCTTCAATCAATAAAATATATAATTTAACAAATTAATATCAGTAATAAAAATAATACGAAAATAAACTGTTTTTATAAACAAATAAAAATGTTAATTAAAATTGATTAAATAATATTATCAGATATTCAAGTTTTTCAAAAAACAAAATAAAAAACACTTAAAACAAGTGCAACAATTTGGGTTCAATATAACCAATAAGATTGGTCCAAACCAAAATAAAATAAGAACATGACAAAAATATTGTTGTTGAAATAAAAAATGGATTCCACTCAAACTAAAAATACTTAGAGAACCAAATAACAACATAATATTACGATATAAACCCATTACTTACTATTAATTTTGTTTGTTATTCATCCAACACAACAATAACAATATATAATTATCTTATATGGTAAAACAACGCTATAAAACACCAATTTAAGTCAAGAAAAATAGCGGTTTTGGATACATTATACAATGCGTGACAAAAGAATAATAAATTGTATAGTAATTTTAATTATAAATAAACTATAATTAATCAACTTGTGAATAATAAAAATGATAATTGAATTATTATATATTTTATGATTTATTTTAACAATAATAATTTAAAGTAAACCAAATAAACACCAATATGAATATAATTATATTAAGCCAAGCAAGAACAGCTTTGATTTTGCCAATTCATTTCTCATCTGCAAATTTCTCCTTCTCATGTCTGTCGTTAATGCCTGGGTACATTAAATTCAATCATAGGAGACGATTCTTAATATAACTAGTTTCTGATATCGACATCGCACCTTGTGATTGAGTTGTAAGTGTCTCGTGGATACCTGATGCTTCCATGCCAATAATGATGGCTAGTGGTGTGCTTCTGGACATCTGAATCTCTCGTTCCAATGGTGATGACTTCACCATTTGATAGTTAATGTGATTTCTTAAATTCTGATGATGGGGAAGCCTTCTGCATTTCTCTGTTGATGTCAAGAGCAATGTAGTAAACACTAATCTGTGTTTGTAGTTCACAAAATAATTAGTTTATGTTTTTTATTTTTATTTATAAACATGGAAAACAAGTCTTTTGTTTTTAATTTATTACTATGAATGGAACACAATTACGTGTACTTTCAGGAAATAACGATAAAAACACAAGAAAAAAATAAGATAATTTGCAACAATTTGTCTTGGATTATTATGTTGGTTTGTAGTGTTTTTTGAACTTTAAATTCGATTGTAATCCATCTCTAATTATTCGACTCTTTTTAATTCTTCTTGTTTTTTTTGTCAAGTATGTTTCTGTTTTTCGATAATAATTTTTATTTTTATATACAACACCATTATATTATCATTTATTTAAATAAATATATTATTTAAATAATTATTGTTAGTAGAAGAAAAATATAATCAATACTAAACACAATCAGTTTAAAAAACCAATTTTCTTAAAACTTTTATCAGTTGTGTTGTTGTATTTATAAAAAATAATAAAATCGTTTACTAATAAGTTTCTATTATAATTATTATATTAAAGTAGTTGTGTATATATTAAAAATACGACAAAAAAGTTGTTTTGTTTATTTTGTTTTAATTTTGAAATTTGAATCATATTTATTTTTTGATAGATTTCAAAAAGTAGCAATAGTATATTTTTACAATAATTTATTACTTATTGTAAATTAATGTATATTAATTTGGATTCAAGACAACGAAAAATACATTTATCCATCGAACGTTTGAAAATAATTCCACTCAATGAAACATAAAAACAAGCTAATAATCCAATTTTAAATTAGTTTCACTAATAAATATAATCAATAATAACAATGAAAATTAGTTATATTTTGTATTATTTTAAAATAAATATAATCTAAAGTATAAATTAAAATTATAATGTTTTTTTATTAATTTAAATTATTTTTATATAATTCAATAATATTTAAAATTTTTATTCACTTATCGTTTTTATTAGTATAATTATTATTTATTATATATATGTAAATCAATGTAATATTATAATATGTTAAATTAAAACAATAAATTTCTATCGCAAACATTTTTATCGAATTAAAAAAACATAAACCTTATGCGAGAAGACGAGATTGTTGGCACATTTAAATGGAAGAAAGAAGGAGAAGCACCAAAAAGCTCATGACACGTTAAAGCTTCGCCTGATCCGACTTACTCGTTTGATCCCAAAGGAAGTAATTTAACTGAAGTTGAGTGTTTTAGGTTGTTTTTTGTGAAGAGATAACAAATAACCTTTTGTTGTTTTCAAATAAAAAAATAGCCAAAGAACATAAGACTGGTGATAACAAACTTTCTAAAACGAGCATCCTGAGGTACCTAGGAATTCTTCTCTACATGGGAGCTCACCATGATGTCATTAATCCCGTGGAAGAGCTTTGGTCAATCGACCACGGAAATCTATTTATAGAAATAGCATGCCACGTGACATGTTTAAATTCATTTCTTCACACATCGAAACTTACGATGTGGGCCAGCCAGATGATGTTTGTGATGATGCATCAGACACTTCAGATGATGGGGATGTCGAAGAGAAAGAGGAAGCTGAAAACGGGCCAGAAGGAGAGTATTTCAACTGCGCGGAATATTCAGATCGAGATTTCAGAGATCTCTCTGAAGAGCAACTCAGGAAAGATGTCAGAATCAAAAGGGGCATCGTTGGTAGTGGAGTTGTTAAAGTCGTCCCTGCAATAACTCCAAATGCACACGACAACTTTTCTAAAATTAGAGTGATTTTAGATAAGTTTATTTCTAACCTTGTCAACCAAACCTAGTACAAACCTAGTAATAGTGTTTCGGTTGACGAACATTTGTGTTCTTATAAAAGGCATATGTAGGCTAAAGTGTTTATTAAGTCTAAGCCTGGACGTTATAATATAAAGTTTTGGGTTTGTTCTATTTTTACCAAATGAGTTTTATTTATGAAGTCAAAAATGACGAATAGTTATTATTGGTTTGACATGTATGATCAAATTTAATAATTTAATTATTTGTTTATTTGAGTTATTTATAGTTTTCTAACTTGTAGATGTGTGCTGACTGTGAGACAGGAATGACTCTAAACCTCCAAATGTACTGTGGTAAGTGTGGTGGTAAGGAGGACAATCAGGGCTTTAGAGTGGTCAGGGACATGGTGCTACCCATGTTATGCCGTGGTAACAAGTTTACCGTTGTGTGTGACAACTTCTTCTGTACGTTAAGGTTGTCACACTACCTTGCTTCATGTGGGTGCCAACTTTTGGGAACCATGAGGATTAATAGGAAAGAACTTCCTGACGAAGCAAAGACCATCAAAGGGAGAACTCCCGATACCACCATCTTTTTCTTGAAAGGAAAGTGTAAGCTCATCTCTTACTTCAACGAGAAAAAGAAGCTGGTATTGGTCTTGTCAACCTGCCACGAAAAGAATGAAATTGAAGTCGTCGAGCAGGATGTGTCCATTGGCAAAGAAAAAATGACAATACACAAACCCCAGCCCATCCTTGATTACAACCACAAAATGGGTGGGGTTGACACTGTGGATCAGATGACCAGGTATTATACATGTAGACGTCGAACAAACAGGTGGAACATCAGGGCTTTATATGATATGATTGATATAGCTGCCTTAAACGCGTATAAAACGTACTCAAATTACCACCCTTGCAAACGAGTGGATTTTTTGAACAATCTTTCTGGTGCTTTAATGAAAATGAAATGATTTTTCTATTTTGTTTGGTTTTTTATAAAGTAGGAACTGTTTATTTCATTCAATACGTGCTTTTTTATTGAACCTCGAAAAAAATTATCGTGAAATAAAATAAAAATAGGGGTCATTATACCATTTTTTTTCTTTTTTACTTATGGATAAGTTTTTAAAAACTTGTGTTATAACAACATCGTGATGTCGTTACTCAACACCATAAACAACCGTTGGTAAAGTATATGCATGAGTATTATGGTGATAATGGTGTTATAATGGTGTTTGTTGATAATTCTATCAAATTGTAAATTTATTATTACAAAACTATAATTTATTAAATATCCATTTTTATAAATAATATTTTTTATTATATAATATAGTTCAAAATATTTTTTATTATTTGTTAAGTTTTTGGCTATTTGTTTTTTGTTTATAATTTCTATTATCCCTTTATTTTTGATTTAAAATATTTGTTTGTTGCCCAAAAATGCATAATTTAAAAATGAATAAACAGTGGCTGCAAAAAAGCATTTGATTACCACATACAATAACATTTATATGAAAATGATAATATCAAATCAATTTTGCCCTTTGTTTTTGTTTGAAAATGATAAAAAAATAAAATAATAAATAATAAATAATATCTTGCTTCTTTGACAGTGGCACGACTTGAAACTCAACGGGTGACCATAAAACCTCATGGTGATCAAAGTTTATACAAACGCGACTATATTGACTGTTTAAGTCATTTTCGAGAATTTTTCTCGATTTTGCGATTTTTGATACTTTTGAAAATGTATTTTAGTTATTTTTTGTTTATTTTACACTTATTTTCTTTAAGATTTTTTTTTCATAGTCGGAACAAACAAAAGTGTCTTTTCGTCTTATCTTATTTCTTTTACAAAAAAATAGCAAAACCCAATTTTTTAAATTATTGTATTTTTCAAAGTTTACAAAAAATCTATTTATTTTTCCTTGTTATTGTTTTTGAGATCAATCGCATATTGAAATTTCAAGACACCTCAAAGTATGTGATTTATTTTTTTCTTTTTTTGTTATTTGATGATGCATTGATTTTGAATATTCCGGACCAGTATGTTTTACGATACAATTTGGTCTTTGTTATATTTTATAATTAATTTTATTATTGTAATTGGTTGTAGACATCTCAATAAATATTTGATCTGACTTTTCCATTGAACTGTGACTTGTTTCTGAAAGGATCAAGCAAAAAAGTGAACCTTTGTTCATCCCAACTTCAACAAAAAATTCACTTTTTTTACTATAATTTATAACATTTTACTATAAAAATTTACTAGAGCCGTCGTTCCAGGGTGTCTAGCTTTTTTGAAAAAATTAAAAAAAGGTCACATTTACATTACAATTGACTAAGATTTTTATTTTTATAAATTTTGATTTTTCCAGTTTTCGAAGGGTTAATCAAAAACATTTGAACCGAACAATTTCTTTTTATAATATAACAAATTGTATTTATTATTTACAAAAATTAGTTTGTTAATTTTTATTTTTTAATGCTATTAATATTTATACACTACTCTTTTTTTTAATATATACTTTTTTAAACACAGTGTATTGAAATGTTATTTTCCATTAAAAAATTAACATGGTTTAAACAATCAAAATTAATTATTTATTATAGGAATACAACAATTATTATCAAATATTGATATGTTACATATTGTATTTTTTAAATCATTAATGTTTAAATAGATCAATTATTAATGTCATTGGTTTGTTTTTGTTTATATTTTTGACTAGTTGATTTTATGTATTATTTTTAAATGTTTATCTCAAAAATAATATAATTATATTAATTATTCTTTAATATCAATGTTTGCAAACGATGAAATTGCTGATGAATATAACATTAACGTTTCTTGTTTTTCTATTGTTTTTAAATTTGTTTAATAAATAATAAAAGTGTTAATTGGCAAAATTCCCCATTTATGGCAACTTTTTTAAATATTTAATAAATTTATAACTTTTTTATTGTTTGTTGTATTATTTATCAATATATATATCTTTGCAATAAAATATATTGATATTTCGGTATTTTTATCATGTTTATTTGGTTCTTTTTAATGCAAAATTTACGATAAATATATTTTAATCATGAACAATTAATGTAAAAAAGGTGCAAGTTCTGAACCTGAACAAGTTTTTTGTAACATTTTTTCAAATGCCATATGTTGTAACGATAATATGCCGAATTTTCCCGTTTATTATCGTTGTTTTAATACAACATAAATGAAATAATAACAGGAAAATAAAAATAAACTTTAAACTTATTCATCATGCAAACAATTCTTTTATTTGAAGCGAGGCGAGAAACCCACACCTGGAAAAAAATCCGCACCCATTTTTTTCTTATTATACTTAAATTATTGTGTTTTTTACTTCCAGAGCATGTAAAAAATAAAAAAGACGGGTTATTATAGTTTCTTTTTCTTTCTTTTTGGTGTTTTTTATTCAAAAATAAAAAATGATTCAAGTTTTATTCAAAATGAACTATCAAAGATCAAAAATGACTCAGATTTTTACGTATTTTTGATGTATTATAACAGTGTTTCAAATTTGTGTTTATTCAAAAAAATATACTATTATATAAACTAGATATATAGTTTATTGATTTAAACTATATTTTTTAACTTGTAATAGTTTATCAAAACCCAATTTTTAAAATAGTTAAAATTTTCACAAGACAAATTCTATAATATAGTAATGTATAGTAAAAATATTCAGAGATTTGTTTTTTTCTATACAAATGTTTATTTTTTGATCAAAAAATTTTCTTTTATATCTATAATACTCACGAGTCAAATTCAATTACGTTTTCGTGAAGATGCTATATTGAAACTCGGTTGTGTGTTTAATATCACCGTTTTTAAATAAGTTTAAAAACAATAAAAAAGTCAAGTTATGTAAAATTTGACACATATCTTTTTTTATTAAGTTGTAAATAAAAACAAAAATTTTGATATGCAAAAATGTACATCAACAGTAATATAATGTATCACTGCGTTATATCATACTGTAACATTATACAAACAAGTTACAGAATGTGTTTTTTATCGTAACAATTATTATTAATTAGATTTAGTGACCACTAAACTGGGTCTGAGTCTTTTCCCTGTTTCTTCGACAACAAATTCTTCAATGTGTTCAGTTTTCTTGTTAATTCCTTTCAAAACCTTGTTGAAAAATTCATAATATCTCACTAAAAGGGTGTTGTCATCCTTTAAAACATTTTCTATTGCTTCGAGAGCAAATTGTAGATCACTTCGACTTTTTGATGGCTTGACTGTCTCATCATCTGAGATAGTTTCGGTTGAATGGACACATTTTGTTGTTTCAAAGAGTTTTTCATTGAAGAGGGTGGCTGGAAGTGGGAAACACCACTTTATAAATTACAGTGTAACCAAGTGAATGCAAGGGTATTTGTTTTATATAAATTGGTCACAGTTGCACGAAGATAAAGTGGTGCCATTAACAATCATTCCCATACCACTTATTGCGTATCTATACTCTGTCATGACTTTGTGTATAATATCCTTCGGTAAAATGTAAAGGGGTGGAAAAAACCGCTTTTGATAATTTAATAGTAAAATGATAATATGATTATAGTTTTTTGTATAGTTTATTTTTTTCCTTTTCCTCGATTTGATTCAAAAAACAATGTTTACAAAAATATCTATTACTTTTTCAAGATGCTGATGTTTGTTATTGAAATTTGTGAATTATTTTTTATGTAAAGTAAAGGCTGGATTTGCCGAATGATAAAATTAGGAGCAAGAAAGATTGACTTCGAAACTGTTCTTTGAAGTCAAAATGACAAAAAAACATCTAATAATTTATCAAAAATAATGAACTTTTTATTAAATATTTTTTTCAATTTTTTGCAGAAATAAATAAACTCAAAAGCACTAACCTGCGAGTGTACCTTTTTTCACACTTCCTTTCACTCCTTTATAATTTTTTCTCATTTTTTTAATCGTCCATTAAACAAATACTCAACAGTCAAATCGATTACCTCTCGAGCAACATAGTTAATACACGGGCCAGCACATGTTTTTAATAAACAACTTTTCAATGTCTCTCAGCAAAGACAGACTGCACCTTTATTCCACACCCCCT